AGCCCCATGCAGAGCGCATTGCAGTAGCCCAAGCGGGAGATAGCCAGAGCATGCACCACTCTGGTGAGACAGTCTGTGGGCAGGTAGGGTCTCATCCTGCGTACCAGATGGAGCTGGTAGACAGCTGCCCTGGACACAGAAGTGCTTCTCATGCATCCAAAAGGCCTATAGAGTTGTGATGTTCAAAGAGGAACTTTCCTTGCCCTATGACAAAATGGCTTTGGGAACTGAGATGGGTTAACAACAACCACCAGTTGCAATATGGAGGACAGAGTGTCAGTCACCCGAAGAGGGGGGAAATGCCCAAGTCTTTGAGCTCTTAAGATCCCACCTGGAGAAAATAAGGCCAAGGTAAAACCCGAGCTGTTCCGTGATCAAAAGATGCTTAATATGGGTCTGTTCGTACATTGCATGCACATTTTAGAATACTACCCGTAGAGGATTTGCAAGCTTTGAAAGCAATTCAGAACTTAATACTGTGAAGAGGACTCTCCCCCAGTGTATTCTGCTTTTCTTCTTTTTGATGCACACACACAGAGACATTGTGCCTGGCCTCCGCTCACCTCAGACTGGCAGACCTCTTCCAGCAGAAGAGTTGTACTGATACAGCAAACCAAAACATATGAATTTTGAGCAACGCTTTGCATTAAATTGGCATGTAGCCTGTGAGGACACCAGGACACAGACTCTTAAGAGCAATCACCGTATCTCTCCGAGACCAGAATCCTGCACACTAAATGTATGTTTTTAGCTTCAATCTTAAAACATGCTTCCTATTATGTAAGTCCCAAATGCTGGAATGTACTTTTAAGAAAGCAGAGTAAAAGGAAAACTTCTCAGTGTTAATTTTATAAAAAACAAAATATGAACAGGGTTCTAGTCCTCAAGGAAGCAGATGAAACATTTATCCCAAGGGTTACAGCAAATCCAAGGCAGGCTTTCAGGGATGAGGAATTTGACGCCTTAAAAAAAATAAATGTGAAGAAGTTCTGGCAATGTTTGTTTATTCTTTCCCTCTCCACTTTTTCACGATTCCCAACCAGCCTTACCCAGTTCCAAAGTGGATCAAAATAAAAAGTCTGAAAGCAAAATTCCAAACACTGAAAAAAATGTGACTTTTACAGAAACGTTTAATTTTTTCCAAGTACTTTTTTTTTTCCTTTTGCAGAAAAAATAAGAAGAAGTGCAGAGCTTTCTGCAAACCTATCGGTAACCTCTGCCTGACCCCTCTGCAGTTACCTCCATTAATACTGCTCGAAATACTACATCTCTGTAATGGAAAAGACACCTGCTATATTAGAGAGAAGAACTATATACATTTCAGCCTGTTTCAGGCTACAGAAAGGGGCACTGCATTGGCTTTCCTGTTCTACAGATGGCAATGGAAATTACTAACGGATCTTTCCGTCACAGCCTCTATTAAGCCCATTCTTTTCAGAAAGAAGTTCCAAAGGAAAGATTTTATTGCAGTACACAGTGAAGAAGATTTAACACTGAACATTTTACTAAATCATACACAAAGGAATTAAAAGCTTGCTAGGTTTTACATGAAACTTGCTCACTTTTAAAACGCTAGCTAGGTTGCATTCTTGAAGTGGTACCATCCCATGAGTCACGTGGAGTCCTTAAGCAATTCACGGTATATGGTTTGTGCATGTGTGTGTATTTTAACATCCGCAGAAAACCAAAACACACATTGAGGGTTAACACTGTACCGGAGTGTTGTCACAAATTTCCTAAGCTTAAAAACAACAACAAAGACAGACGGTGGTAACCTTGAAAACCCTAATAAACATCAAATAAATTGGAGCAAAGAGAAGTGCAAAGAAATAGGAACAAGGGGTGCACATTCCTATCTGGGCTCTTCTGCATGAAAATCTTCTGGGGTCAGCCAGAGACAAAGCCTTTTGGTTTGAAACGGGCCTTGGCGTGGGTTTTCCGAGCCAGAAGCCCATTCTATACCACGAGGTAAGCTATGCTCCTGTCACAGCAAAACATGAAGGTACCACCTGGGTCAGTTAGGTGGACCGTCAGAAATCAAGCTTGAGCTCTCAGCTTATTTAGTTAGAGGGACCATATCTCAGCTTAATAAGCCAATGAGCATGAACTTTTGTGTACATCAGAAAACAAACCAAGCCATCTTCCACCGCTCTTTGTTGGAACCGGTGAGCTATGGTTAGTGAGTAGCATCTGCCCAAGCCAGGCGTTGAAGCCAGCTTCAAATGGTGGTTTAATACCCCGGCTCCTTCAAAGTGTTAACCATAATTTTTCATGGTTTGGACAAATCAGAAAACTATGGTTAACTGGAAGGCTACCTGGTCCGTTTCCTAGTTCTTGTGAAGGGAGAAGGCCGGAAGCACCTACACAACATTGAAAGTGGTTTGTCATTAAGCTTTATATGGAGCTGGGTAAACTTAAAAAGCTAATTTTTTTGGTTAGAATACAGTTTAGAACAAGGTATGTTATGCCTGGAGTTGGGACCCAAAAATATGATGTATCTCTCCAAAGCAGCTAGATTCTCTGAGGCCTATATTAATCATCATGCTTTCTGGTCAGATGTTATAGACTGTGCCAATGGCTCATGCAACATTTGCATCATGTTGTCCTAAAAGTTGAAACAGCTTTTATGAATTCAGCTTGTGAACCACAGTCTTCACTGTTGTTGAAACGAAACTGCAACCTCCTTAAAACTAAAACAGGTTCCAGAATATTAGTGCTCTCTGCATGAGCACTCTCTGAAACTCTGTCATGGCAACATGTGGCAAAAAAACCCCGTATTTGACAGCTAAACCTCAACCTTTCAGAGTTCATTTATTTGCTCGCAAAGAGCCGGGGATTTAAATGCAGATTAAAAGGTAAATCGGTTTTTTCAAAAATCTGGTGGCTTATTGTTACATTAATCTCTTCCCAAGAACTCAATGCATTATTCAGTTGCTACCAAAAGGGAACTGAAGGTGGGATAATAAAGCCATGTTCTGTCATTTCAATCAGTACTTGGGGCACAATTAGCTAAATGTGGATTTTAATTTTTTTATTTGTTTTAACATCTCATTTCATTGGTGGGGATTAATCTATTAAAAATCAAGGCCTATATGTCTCAACAGAAACAGCAGCCAGAAAAGTGTGCATCATGATATATATATGTTAATTATATGTTAATAACAAAGTGTTTAATTGGTTAATTGCTTCCTTGCCCACAATCACCTAACAGTGTTTTTTTAGTCTGCTTATTGTCATAGATTGACAAACAGCCACAAATAATAAGGATGAAGCTCAGAGCTCAAGCAAGTAGATCGGAATTTGAAGGTTCATTCTTAGATCTTGCAATTCAAATCTCTCAATGGAAGGAGAGATTTTCATGCATTTAGAGCTTTTAACCTACCATCTCATTTTCCAGTCCAACTGAGTTCACACAGAGTAGACCCACTGAAATGAATGGGCCTAAGTTAGTAATACCAGTTGGTTTTAATGGGACACCTCTGAGTAGGACTAATACTGAATACCTTATTCACACTGCCCTCAAAGGCCCACCCTTATAAAGAGCACCTATGGCTGATCTGCCAACGCTTCTCCACTTCCATTGCCAACTCAACCCAGATTTCTGCTGCGATAACTTGAAAAGCAGCAGGTCGTTGACAAACACATGATGTCTAAGGGTTGCACAAGGCAGCCAGCATTCCAACTGGTGAAGGTTCGGGGGGGGGGGGAGAAAGGTCTGTCCCAGGACCCCCAACCCCCTGGCACTGCCAAACCACCTCCACCACCAAGTACTGCAGTTCTGCTTAAAACAGTGGTTGAGCAATGCAGTCACGCCACCAATGGATTGGAGGCATCTCTCCCAAGGGGTCTTCCACACCGCCAGCCTCGTAGTCCTGAGTAAGGAGAGAGGATCCGAGGTGGCAACTGTGAATTTGCACAAGTTCAAGGCCTTCTGCGGAAGCCCGGGAGATGAACATCACAAAAAGGTAAGTGGAAAAAAGCCCCTTCCTCTGAATAGGGTTGTAAAGACTGCAGAGAGAATAATTGTGTTCACTCTTCCCACCTGGGATCAAATCTATGCTTCCGGGTGCCATAAGAAGCTGCAGAGATAGTCAGAGCTAGCCGACCTAACCGGAAGAGTCCGCGACCGGAAGGAGGAGGAGTATCAGGAAGAGTGGAATAAATTTAATGATTATTTAGTTAAATTTGTTAAGTTAAATTAACTGAAAACAGCTTGCAGATACTTAATGGGCTAAGGATTTTATTTATGTTAAGTGATGAATTAATATGTTTAGATCCATAAGGTGAAGATCTAAGGATGTTAATGTTTAAGTTAAATTTCATAAAAATTGGGATTTGGAAAACCGCTAAAAGGACATGCAATGAAATTCAACCAAGGGGAAGCGAGGAAGTCACTTAACAAAGTTAATAACTGTAATTTTCAATAAGGCTATGATTTATGTTTGTCTGTTTTATGTGTTTGTTTGTTTATAATATTGTGAAAATTTTAAAAAAAGCAAAAGAAAAGAAAGCTGCAGAGATAGTGCAGGATGGTGCGCACCCCGGAAATGATCTCTTTCAGCTTCTGCCTTCTGAGTTACAAAGCCTAGGACTAGCCGTCTGAGAATAAAGATTATCGTATAGAAGCATGTGAGTTTTGTTTTTTTCCTTCAAGTGGCAAGTGGCCACTAGATAATCACCCTGCCAAGTAAGGGGGACAGTGGACAAGACAGAGGCAACCTGGGCTGGCTTGTTCCTATGCCGTTAGCAGCAGCCTGATCTGCAGAAATCAACAAGGGAAAGGTTCACAGCACAGACCCAGCTGCCATTCGTAAGTTGGCAATGCCCAGTGAGAATGAGTTTACTGTAGTACAACAGGAGGAGACCTAGAGCAGAACAGTCTCAGTGCTAAGCCTACAAACTACTAAATCAAGCAACTGAGAAGAAAAGCCGGCTTCTCAAAACATATTTCCTTGTGAATCCCTGCCCTCCCCCTCCAAAAAACCGCCCAACAGCTTCTGACCAGATTGGCTAGAAATATATTTTGTCCTTGAAAATGCTGTCGGTATAAATATCCTCCCAAGTCTGTGAGAGAGGCGATAGTGGTAGAACTACAAAGCAAACCTTTCAAAAGCCTTCAGTAACAGCTGGATCCTGTGGTTACTTCACAACGAAAGATTGCCTGTAGAAATACTCTCTCGGAGTTGATTGGAGGGGTTTTGTCAGGGGCTGGGCTTTATGGGAAATCGTGTGGCATTGTCAAAGTTGACATGCTGTGATGTCAGAGCATTCTGGGAGTCCCCGCCCTGCAAGAGCAGCTGGCAGCCAGTTAAAAGGGAGGCAGAGTTTAATTGTGGAAGACGCCACACATTGTGGGGGGAGGTAGGTGGTTGAGGAAGGGGGAAAAGAGATGGCAGTCCTGGCTTGGCGCCTTTTCAACAGCAACCGCACATCTCCCACGATGTCTAGTTCCAGCTAGAGAACGCTATGCAAAGCGCACACGGCAAAACATTGCCAGTACTATAATTCAAGACTTCTAATGGGGGGGGGGGGACTCCAGTTCTGCCAAAACCACAGAGAAGGGGTGCAAAAGAGTTGCCATTGCTGCTCGCTCCTAAGAACTTTGCTTGGGAGCCAGAAAGAGGGGTGGGAGGCAGGGAAGACGCAGCTTACGCCCTCGTGGGTTCCCTTTGCAGAACCGCAGTTTGTAGAGACAGAGGAAGAAAGGCGCAGGTCTCGTTCTCTGGCCTCTCTTCCTCCGGCAGGTTAGAACCAACGAACATCATGTAATCTTCATGGGCGATTTCTTGTGCGCGCAGAGGAGGGAGACGTAAGGGACCCCGATGAAGGCCCACTTCTCGCTGGGCCAGAACTTAATGACCGGGCCCTGCTCAGGGATCTCCGAGACGGCATCGAAGTAGGCGAAGCACACGCAGCCCAGGTAAGCGGCGATACAAATGAGGATGTGCCTGAAGGGACAGAACAGAAACGGAGGAGGGTGAGTACAGCTTGCTCCTCACCACCAGCGTGCAACCGATATTCCTTGCAATTCTGAAAAGAAGGAACTGTGTGTTAGGCCTGGGCGATGTATCGATACGTTGTCCAGGGCCGGATTGAGGGCCAGATCACAATGGAGTTTTAACCCGGCGGTATAATGCTGGCATCTCTGTGCATTGCGCATGGCAGGAGCGAATACCATAGATGACATGATCCCGTGTGAAGCGGTACTTTGATTTCGTCTTCTTAATTTCCCCACAACAATGTTGCAAGAAGGATCGCGGTAAGTTAGGGCGCGTTACTTCCCCACATTGCCCAAGGGGTTCTCATCCCAGCGCAGTTCTACTGGCAACTCTGGTTTCCAAATAAATGAAACCAGAGATGCCAGTGAAGGGGGGGGGGCATCCCTGCAGGTCGTCACCTTTGCTTCCTTCTCCGGCTGAGCAGGCAGGCTGCCTGCTTCCTCTATGCGCTTGGCACTGGCAGAAGCTTCACTCCAGTGCCTCGTGAAAGAGCATTTCTATATACCTGAAGGAGCGTCTCCACCCCCATCGTTCAGCCCGGACACTGAGGTCCAGCTCTGAGGGCCTTCTGGCGGTTCCCTCGCTGCGAGAAGTGAAGTTACAAGGAACCAGGCAGAGGGCCTTCTCAGTGGTGGCACCCACCTCCCATCAGATGTCAAGGAGCTTCACAATATTCCAATATAGGAACATCTCCACACCCATCGTTCAGCCCGGACACTGAGGTCCAGCTCTGAGGGCCTTCTGGCGGTTCCCTCCCTGCGAAAAGCGAGGTTACAAGGAAGCAGGCAGAGGGCCTTCTCAGTGGTGGCGCCCACCCTGTGGAACACCCTCCCACCAGATGTCAGGGAGATAAACAAGTAAATGACTTTTAGAAGACATCTGAAGGCAGACCTGTTTAATGTTTTATCGTGCTTTTAATATTGTTGGGAGCCGCCCAGAGTGGCTGGGGAAACCTAGACAGATGGACAGGGTATAAATAATAAATTATAATAATATTGTTGTTGTTGTTTTGAGGCCGGGTCTCCTCCCTCCATAGGCCAGGCACTGGCCGGAGCAGCGACAGTTTCACCCTGGTGCCTCACACTCCTTCCTTTTCGGCATCGTAATGTATCACTATATCACGATGTTCAGCTGGTGATACATCATGAGGCTGAAGCAGGAGATGTCAGGGACTGAACCGTGGACCTTTGGCAGGTAAAAGATGAGCTTTGCCCCAAGCACAGGGCTGTTTCCTTAGAAATGGAAATTCAGCATTAAGGCAACAAAACGTTTTTTTCACTCCCAACGCTCATTTTTGTAAAAACAACAGAGTTAAATACCTGTAGTGTCTGGATCAGCCTTCAGACTACACTGAGAACTCAGACCAGCTGTAACAAACATGGTGCCCTCCAGTGTGTGGGGCTGATGGGCATCAGGGAGGCGGGTACAACGTTGGTCAGGGGTCAGCAAACTTACTGTGCCTCAAGCTCGTGTTTCCAGTGCCGATCACACTGTGGGCCGGAGGGCGGGGGAGCGCGTGCCCATACGCGTGTGCACATGCTATTTCCGGCGCACTTCCGGGTCGGAGGAGCACCGGAAATAGCCTGTGCGCATGTGCACATGCCTCCTCCGACCCGGATGTGCACCGGAAATAATGCTTGCGCATGCGCACAAGCTATTTTTGGTGCTCCTCCGACCCGGAAGTGGGCAGCTGCACAGAGCAGCGCCGGTAAGAGCAGGTGGCAGCTGCAGGTGACGGCCACGGTTGGCGGGGGTCGCCACAGGCCAGATAAACGAGTCCCTCGGGCCTTATCCGGCCCGTGGGCCTTAGTTTGGGGACCCCTGACGTTGGTGAAGGGTGGTCTGAGTTTTCTATATACAGTGGTGCCCCGCAAGATGAATGTCTCGCAAGACGGAAAACCCGCTAGACGAAAGGGTTTTCCGTTTTGGAGGTGCTTCGCAAAACGAATTTCCCTATGGGCTTGCTTCGCAAGACAAAAATGTCTTGCGAGTCTTGCCATTTTTTCCCCGCTTTCCCCCCCCTTTTTCTAAGCCGCTAAGCCACTAATAGCCTTTTAGCAGCTCAGCCGCTAAGCCTTTAATAGCCGCTAAGCTGCTAAACCGCTAATAGCGCTAATCCGCTTAGCCGCTAATAGGGTTGCTTCGCAAGACGAAAAAACCGCTAGACGAAGAGAATCGCGGAACGGATTCTTTTCGTCTTGCAAGGCACCACTGTAGTCTCTTCATCCAACAAATATGGCAAGATGTAACACCGGGAAATGGAGGGCAGAGAGAGGGGGGCGGGAATTGTGGCAAGGACTGGAATCCGAACACGATGGACTCACCATACGCAGTGCAAATATGGGAAGTTGAATGACGACCAGATCTCACAAAATGCTTTGTCGCTGATCCAACAAAAAAGTGCCAAAGTCCACCAGAGGCCAGAAAATAGTCCCAGCTTGTACACTCGCACGTTGTCACATCTGAAAGCCAAGCCAGGAGATCATTGAAAGCACAGCAACGGAATGACATCTGACCCAAGATTAAGTAAGAACTGAACAAAACATTTGGGGGAAACGGTTGCATACACCCCCTTGCCCCAAGGCAGGTCATGGCATGAAAACAAATATCAAGGGTATCGTCTAAAAGCACTCTTTTTTAAAAAAACCCAAGCATGTGGCTTAGAAAAACCACGAGCCAAAAGCAAATTAAGGCTTACAACTAAACACAGAAAGTCTAAGCCACTTTTAGAGGCATCCAAGCTGATGGCCGTCATTGCACACGGCAGGAGCGAATGCCATAGATTGCCTGATCCCGTGTGAAGCGGTACTTTGATTTCGTCTTCCTACTTTCCCCACAACACTGTTGCAAGAAGGATTGGCGGTAAGTTAGGGTGCGTTACATCCCAGCGCAGTTCCAGTGGCATTTCTGGTTTCCAAATAAATGAGACTATTCAGATGGTGACTAACAGCCAGGCACTGGGTTAAACCACAGAGCCTTGGGCTTGCCGATCAGAAGGTCGGCGGTTCGAATCCCCATGACAGGGTGAGCTCCCGTTGCTCGGCCCCTGCTCCTGCCCACCTAGCAGTTCGAAAGCACGTCAATGTGCAAGTAGATAAATAGGTACCGCTCCGGCGGGAAGGTAAAGGGTGTTTCCATGCACTGCTCTGGTTCGCCAGAAGCGGCTTAGTCATGCTGGCCACATGACCCGGAAGCTGTACGCCGGCTCCCTTGGCCAATAAAGCGAGATGAGCGCCGCAACCCCAGAGTCGGCCACGACTGGACCTAATGGTCAGGGGTCCCTTTACCTTTACCTAACAGCCAGGCAGTTACAGCTGATATTTTTTAAAAATGGGAGGGGGGAGAGAGATGGACAGGGCATAAATAATAAATTATTAAAAAATTATAATCCCTCTTCTCAGCATCACAGCCCCTTTTGAGGGCCCAGGTGGCAGCTTTCAAACTGGGAGCCTCCGTCACCTCTTTGATGTGACAAGATATTTTGTTTTGCAACCCTAAGAAAGAGAAGTTATTATAATGCACCCAGGCTATTTACAGAACCATTTATCACCTTGTCAAGTCGTCCACCCAAAACAGCTCCTGTCCGGATGCTTGGGATTTCCATGGGAACATTTAAGCTCTTTTGTGTCTTAATTCCAGGTGTGCTTCTGCCACCCTGCGCACAGGTAAGTCACACGCCCAGTGCCGGATTTACGTATAAGCTAAACAAGCTATAGCTTAGGGCCCCACTCTCTTGGGGGGCCCAAAAAAAAAATAAAGGGAAAATGTACATTTCCAAAATATAAGATAAAAAACAAATAAAATAAAACCTCCATACAGCAACAGTGTTTTGTGTTGTGTAGGCTCCTATGATGTAAGTCATGGGCCCCGTCTGCTAGCCTGCTCCCTAAAATACCCCTGGTTTGCTCCTTTCTATATATAGGGTGCCTACATTCTGCTATTTATAATTACTAGTAGTTTGGATCATATATTTTCACTTATTATTATTTCATGTTATAGCAAGTTTCTAGAGACTAGATTATTAGTCTTTGTAAATTGTGTTTCTAATGAAACTTTTGTTATTGCCAAATGCCAATGTGTTTGCATTATTAAGTTTGTTATGAATAAAAAAATCATTTTAAGGTAGAGCTTAATAATTATTTCACTATTAATATACTTCTTCTTAATTGCATTTCACTATTAATATACTTCTTTAATGTATTCCAGTTGAACAATTACTTTAATAAAATACAAGTTTTGTGATGTGTAAATGGTTTGAGATACCTACTAGGGCCATCAACTACCATATAGCATATACTCAACACAAAAAACAGCAACAATTTGTTGTGGACATAGGACAGCTGGACATAGAAAGGGCCCCACTACCTTCAGTAGCTGAGGGCCTCATCAAATCTAAATTCGGTCCTGCACACACCCAGAATGTGTTCACTCCAAACGGTAAGCAGGCATCCAAACAGAAGATCTATTTTGTCACAGCGACAGACACCCACCTTTTCAGCTCTGCGACAAGCAAGGCACTGCAGGGAAGACCCAACGTCATCAGCGAGATGTTATTGATGGCAGGCTTAATGAAGGCGAGGCAGGTGGTGACCCCAGAGAGGATGCCCACTGCTGCCTTAAATCGGCCCCTGATTTTTTTTTCAAAAAAAGAGTCAGCATCATTAAACCTTTTATTGGCATCACATACAACATCCAAAACAAATCAATACAGAATTTCCACTTCCCCAGTGGCACAAAACATTTGCTTAAAGAAAGGAGGCAGAACAGTCTATGGTCACATCTCTTGGTCTCCAGGGAGATCAGACGTCTGCAGTGTATTTTGACGACAAAAAATCAAATGGAGATATTTAGCCACTAACTTGGAGAGCTCCTGATCATTCCCCAGTAATAGAAAATGTATGATCTCCAACTCTGGTTTCCATTTGGGGATGCAGAGTTGATATAGAAATTGCTGACGGAGATCAGCATATAGTTTACAACTGAGAACCATGTGTGTAAGGGTTCCCACCAGGTGGTCTTCACCTGGGCAAGTTCTTTCTCCTTCCACCCTGCCTGAGAACCTTCCCCAAAGGAGGTTTGATGGATATGAATTAAACCTGGCCAGCGAAAATGCCCTTCTTTCTTTCTGGTTCTCTCCTGCCCTCTTCTGTGGAGATAGGCACAGTGCTATTAATGCAGCCCACTCTTTAAAGGCCAGCTGTGATGGCCTGGGATTCGGAGGCTGAACCTGAGGAATCCCAGCCTGCACAGGAGTCCCCGCCTCCAGAACCAGCTGAGCCGTGGCATGAGCCTGAAAGGTCCTCACCTGTGCTGGATCCTCAGGTGCAGGCACCAGCTGAGTCTGCTCTGGCTCCTGAGGTGATGGAGGACCCATTGCCTGTAGGTGCTCCACTCTCAGCCCCGTCAAGGGAAGCTGAGGTTGCCTCTGGGTCCCGTAACCCTCCAGCCTCTCCTGAGCTGCAGAGGCTCAGGGCAGAGAGGCGGAGGAAACTAAGTTCCCACAGGAGGAGTGCTCACCTCCAGGCCAGGAGAGGCGAGTCACCAGAGGATAGGGGCCGCCCTATGCCTCGGGGCAGATAAAAGCCAGCCAGCCCCAGTCCCAAGTTGTGGGAACAACATTGTTGGTAGCCTGTTCCTGCCTGCACCCTGTCCTGCTCTTCTGCCAGAGTTCCTGACCTCACCCGACTCCCTGCCTTGGACCCAGCTTCAGCTCTGACGGACAGCCTCCATACTGCACCCTCGACCTCGGGCTGGACTCGGACCTCACCGCACAGTTAACCCTCGGGACCAGCACTTAAGAGACATTACCTGTCGTTCCTGAACATTTTGGGAAGATATCTTCTGGGAAACCACAGAGCCAGAGCACACATCAAAACCCAGAGTATAGCGAGTTCATCAAGCATCTGACCCAGGAAACTGAGTGTGGCGTGGAAGTAGACAGATCCAATTCCTGGAGGGGGGACACATTCAGAATCAAGAGGTCATTACAGCACAGTTCAAACGTCGTCTTCTCTTCTCAGCGAGATTCAACAACAGCCAGGCGGCTTTGCACAGACAAGCGTCTGAAAATTTAACACAAGCAAGCGACCAAACACACGGCGAAGAGCTAGGTTTTGAAGATTGAAACCCACTCCCAAAAGCTTCCAAATTAACTTTAGAGCAAAGTATTCGTGGGAGACTTCAGTGAGGAGGGGTTTTGTTTGCACAGTCAGTTACCTCATTGCAGAACTTAATTGAGAAACTGTGAGGATGTTTTAAAATAGATATCTATATATATGAAGGTGCAAAAAGGAAATCAGCTGATGAGTAGTTCAGGGCCTGACTGAGCAAACAGCAGGGCTGGCCTACTACTCTTTGAGGTAAGTAAAATAATATGCACTGCCTTTCCTCTCGAGACCATTAAGACCAGGACCGAAACCAACCTCAATGCTTACAGACAGGGACTTAATCTGCATATTAGCAGAAATGGGTCACTGGCAACAGACTTTTTTATACTTATTGGATTTCTGCCAGAAAGGCTAAATCCAGATTAAATGGAGGGTGGATAAAACTTGTCGGCTTGAGGAGAAGCCATCCCAGAATAAGAATCCAACTGGAAGCACCATGACGCAGTGGCGTAGCGTGGGGGGTGCAGGGGGGGCCGGCCGCACCGGGCACAACATCTGGGGGTTAGGGTTAGGGGGCGCAAATCCACGGGTTAGGGGGCGCAAATCCACGGGTTAGGGGGCGCAAATCCACGGGTTAGGGGGCGCAAATCCACGGGTTAGGGGGCGCAAATTACTTGCCTTGCCCCGGGTGCTGACAACCCATGCTACGCCACTGCCATGACGTATCCCACAATGTTGGTAATAATGTAAAACTACCTTATTTAATACATAGCAGGGGAAACTGAGAGGTTCAAAATGGCACCCAACTTCCAATATTTTATTTTGGGAGTGTACTGTACTTCTGAAATCGGGCACGTTCTCCAAGCACCTTCTTTGTTGTCCACCCCCACACTTGTTTTCAAATAATAAATAAATGAATATAATTTCTCAAAATTTCAGGTCACAGAGGACAGACACAGAAGGACTTACCAACTACCACAAGCAGGGTCCATATTAAATATATTCCGCTGTTGAAGCAGGTTGCATATTGTCGGAATAAGCACATACATATGGGTGGCAAAACAAAAAATAAGATGTTGCTTATCTAAGGGGGGAAACGGAAAAAAAAATTAAATAAGCAGAAAGGAATGATTAAATAAAGTGGTATTTTACAAAACCGAAACAAAAAATGTTGAGGGCGGGAGAGGGATCTTGCACAACGGAGTAAGCTTAGCACTTTCCCAGGCAAATATCTGGATAAGAGGAGGCAGAAATAAAAACAACATCTCCCCCCCACCCAAGACTCCATCCCTGCCCTGACACACAAATTGAGATAGAAGTGTAGACCAGGGGTCAGCAAACTTTTTCAGCAGGGTCCACTGTCCCTCAGACCTTGTGAGGGGCCGGACTATATTGGGGGGGGGGATGAATGAATTCCTATGCCCTACAAATAACCCAGAGATGCATTTTAAATAAAAGCACACATTCTACTCATGTAAAAACACGCTGATTCCTGGACCGTCCGCGGGCCAGATTCAGAAGGCGATTGGGCCGGATCTGGCCTTAGTTTGCCTACCCATGGTGTAGACAGACCTCATGCCATGCATGACTTAGACTATCGCTTTGCCTGAGTCAACTCTTTCTAGGAAATGCGGTGCTCTCAACTGCCTGGAGAAGACATGTTGACACAATAGGAAAATGGTGGAGACCAACAGGTATGGTCCCTGGAAGACCACTGCCAAGGCTGCAACCACAAAACCAGGAGTGGTGGCCATGAAAGAGGCCAACTGGGTTGCGGGCACATAGCTGTCAACCTACAGATTTGAAAATAAGGGACCAGCAGCCTCAAAAATAAGGGATCAGCAGCCAAAATAAGGGATTTTGCTGTTGTAAAGAGTTACATGCATTCGTAGGATTGACAGAAACTGTCAATCTGGGATGAGGCGGTTGTGGCACGGCGGTGGCCGCTGAAGCGCTGGCCTTCTGCGTCCCTCCCCATCCCCTTCTCTTTCTCCTCCCTCAGACCGCCTCCTCAGCTGCCACCACTGCGACCGCTTCCGGGCTCGCGGGCGGCATGGGCGAGAGTCTCTCTCCCCTCCCCCCTCTCGGGTGGGGAAGGGCTGATGGAACTCCTCGCGCAGACAACGGTGCCAGCGCTCTCTCGCACGCACGGCGGAGGACCCTGAGCCGCTGCTTCCCTCCCGAGCCAGGCGAGCATGAAACCCAGGAAATTTAAGGGACATCATCAATAAGGGACAGCAGTGGGACACGGCGCTGGGATAAGGGAGTTTTCAGCTAAATAAGAGACGGATGACAGCTATGTGCGGGCATCCCCCAATTTTGAGCCAGAAGAAAGCAAGCGCTATGAAACACTTGCAGCTCGGTCTCCTTGAATTCCTCTTTTGAGGAACCCATGCCCTTTCTTCTCCTCCTCCTCCTCCTTCTTCTCCTTCTTCTTCTTCTTCCTCTGGCCGAGAGCACTGAAAGACTTGCACGTGCAAGGAAGAGTAAGTTGAGCAGAAGTCACTTGGCTTCAACTCATGGGACGTTCTGGTCTGAGCCAGCACTTCGGTCCTGGCAAAACACAGGGCAACACAGCTCCTCCCGTGGCTCAAGGCATTTTGTCACCTGAGGCGAGCCACAAAACGGTGCCGCCCACCCTGCCAGGAGAGGAATAAAGATCTACAATGGGGACAAGGGTGATGGGGACAAGCCGTGCCTCCTATTGGCCAAAAAGCTGCTATAAAGGCGGCAAGGAGCGTCCTGTCACTGTCACCACAGCAGCAACGGACAATGCATTCCTTGGAAGACAGATCTGCTGTCCCTGTGAATCCTGCGGCCTGAGTGGAGTGCGTGCAGCAGCCAGGCCCTGTGACCAGTAGGACTTCGCAGGACTGGGGCCTTCCTAAGTTTGTTCTGAAGAGGCAAGGCGCGGCCGCACAGGTGAAGCCGATAGGTAACTCGCTGCACCTGGTGGCAAGAGCCGGAAAGGGATATAAGGTCAGCATTTCCCTTCGGCTCTTTGCCACAGCAACACGTTCCCTGCCTTGCTGTGTTTGGCTCCTTGACTCCTTGCTTTTTGATCCTCGGACCCCTGACTTTATGACTCCTTGCTTCCTGACCCTCGGACCCTTGGCTTCTTGACTCCCGGCGCTCTGACCCTCGGACTCTTGGCTTCCTGACTTCTGGACCCCCGTTCCTGCTCCCACCCCGCCATCTTGCCCCCGGTCCCGACGTCCTCAGCTGGGACTTTGACTCGGACTGTGACACCATTGCCTCACTTTGCCTCATGGGAGAGCCGGCCATAGTTCAAACTCTACAAGCCAGTGTGGTGTAGTGGTTAAGAGCGGTGGACTTGTAATCTGGTGAACCGGGTTCGCTTCCCCGCTCCTCCACATGCAGCTGCTGGGTGACCTTGGGCTAGTCACACTTCTTTGAAGTCTCTCAGCCCCACTCCCATCATAGAGTGTTTGTTGTGGGGGAGGAAGGGAAAGGAGAATGTTAGCCGCTTTGAGACTCCTTAAGGGGAGTGAAAGGCGGGATATCAAATCCAAACTCTACGACAAAAGAATCGGTTGGCTTTAGTTTTTTAATTTGGGGGCAGCCTTGTTGAGTTGGAGGAGGGAGTGGGTGGAGAACCCCACCACACCCCTTCCTTGTTGTTTGGGACACATCAAGAGATCAACAAGAAAGGAGATTTCCAACTAGATATCAGGAAGAGCGTTCTGACAGTAAGAGCTGTCTCTCTAGGGAGATGGTGGACTCTCCTTCCTTGGGGGCTTTTAAGCAGAGGTTGGATGGCTGGCTGTCATGGATGCTTCAGCTGAGATGGCAGGGTTGGACTAGATGACCCTCGGGTCCCTTTCCAATTCTGCGATCCTAGGATTCTATGCTCTGCAATTCCAGGAGACCAATGGAAGAGGAGCTAAGAGCCAGCTCTCTGATGGATGCAGCAACGGGGAGCAAAAGTTCTGAGGGGGCAGAATAAACAGAACCAGGAAGGGGGGCAAATGCTAAGTGGAATACCTCCCTGAACACCCTGCAAGTAGAAAACCAGCCCTGCAGTGAAACAGAGATAGCTAAGAGCAGGTTTCTCCCAGACACAGTGTTGCTGACTGACAGGGAGCTTTGCAGAGTCAAATCTCGGTTCTTGTTTTCAAACATTTCGGCTCCCGAATGCCAAAAACCCAGAAGTAAATGCTCTGGTTTTCGAACGTTTTTCAGAACCTGAACGTCCGACACAGCTTCCATTTTGAGTTACCCTATTGAACTGAGGCTTTCTCTTTCAGTTTTTTAAATGTTTTGGAAGTTGAACCATCTTCCAGAATTGATTACGTTTGAAAACAGAGGTTCCACTGTATCTTGCAAACACTGGGAGTGTTCAGAAACAGCGTAAGGCTCTCTTCATCAACAGATTCAGCAGAGCCCAGTGGGCAATATGTCAATATATCATCCCAAATCAGTTTAAAGTCCATATTGTGATAATGATTTCCTAATTTTTGACCTGGCAATATATCCGAATTCTGGAATGGATTATGTTTGCTGCTTTGGTTTTTGCTATTTTGCATTTTTGTGGCTTTTTCGGTTGATTTATTTTTGTGACTATGTGGAAGCCAGTTCAGCTAGTGACTGATTGATTGTGCGACTGCGGAAATGGATAAAAGCCCCCCATCCAAACAATGACTATCATCAGTGCAGGTAAGAAAAAAATAATAATTTTAATTTTTATCATCTACAATACTGTCTTATTTAGTTTATAGTATAGTACATTGATTATTGCTTTCATTTTATGGATCAATGGTCTTGTTAGATAGTAAAATTCATGTTAAAAGGTTGTTTTTAAATGTCTGTAATGGATTGATCCGTTTTGCATTACTTTCTATGGGAAAGCACGCTTTGGTTTTGCGACAGACTTCTGGAACGGATTAAGTTTGAGAACCAAGGGACCACTGTACATAGCTCCATCCTTATTTCAAACATTGTGATCTATCGGTATATTGCAATGTTTCGCTGGTGATCTATCACCATGTTGATCTATCACGATGTTGAAAACCAGGTATCGCCCAGCGCTAGCACACAATAGGAGGCCTTCACTGACAGAGTACTTTCTTCCATTCAGGGAAAATTTCAGAAACACTGGGCATGGGGCAGGGGCGTTGAGGGAAAGGAAGGAGGAAGAGAGAGATGCATTTTTCCACCCTGTTCCGCTTGACTTTAGAAACAGCCTTACAGATGGAACGGAAAGCACTAAGTAGCGTATTTTGTAAACATTAAACCCCACTACTTTCGGTACGAGGCTGTTGCTTAAGAAGAGCAAATCCTTTTGAGTTGCTTTTCAAGTTTCAAAGCACAAGATATAATCCTTAATTTGGGCTGCATGGGGGGTGGGGGAGCACTCCTACTTTATATTCACTTCAGCTCCTTAATTGCAACCAGCAAACGGCCGTGAGGAAAGAGGTGACTTTTTCTCTCCTCTTGAAATCGGAAGGGCATCCATGGCGGAGCTGGGCCTGAGAGATCCAATCATTTGGGAGAGTTCTCCCAATATTGACTTTATTTTCTAAAAGTAGCTGTCACTAGAATTGGGGGGGGGGGGGGTTGAGGGGAAATATCGACCCTTTCCTTTTATATGTTGATATTATTATTTTATACTACTCTAATAATTGTTGAATGTTACTTTTTGATGTAGGTTGCTTAAAGTTTTGTTTTATTATCACATTTTTGTATTGCGTTAGATTGCTAGATCTTCAGCTTGCAAACCGCCTTGAGGTAGAAAGACGGTGTGCAAATAAAAAAATTGATGATGATATTTCGCCTCCCACCCCAAATCGAAATGTGGAACGCTCTCCCCCAAGGAGACTCATTCATTCTACACCTTTAGGTGCCAGGCAAAAAATGTTCCTCTTCAACCAGGCCTTGGGCTGATTGTCATCTGAAGCCCTTTGAAAAGGTGTTGTGGAAAGGGGGATTCTTGCTTTCTCTTTTGTTTCTATTATGTACCGTATTTTTTGCTCTATAAGACGCACCAGACCACAAGACGCACCTAGTTTTTGGAGGAGGAAAACAAGAAAAAAAATATTCTGAATCCCAGAAGCCAGAACAACAAGAGGGATCACTGTGCAGCGAAAGCAGCAATCCCTCTTGCTGTTCTGGCTTCTGGGATAGCTGCGCAGCCTGAATTCGCTCCATAACACACACACACACATTTCCCCTTACTTTTTAGGAGGGGAAAAGTGAGTCCTATAGAGCAAAAAATACGGTATTTTCTCTTTGCTATATTGCGATTTTATGTTGTGAATGGCCCTGAGATCTACGGGTATAAGGGAGGTATACAAATTTAATAAATAAATAAACCTTGAAGTTCAAAATATGTCGTCATCAGAGCATCCTGCTGAGCCCATGGGTGGATTAATAAATATACAGTGGTGTAGTTAACCTGTTGCTCAGGCCAATGACCAAAATGTCACAGGCAGGGCCGTCTTTCCCCGGGAATGCAAGGGGTGCAGGGCATCCGGGCGCCGAATTCTGGGGGCGCCGGGCGCCCACCGCTGAAGCCACCTAAGCTCTTAACTATCTGCATCTTAAAAGGTAAAGGTACCCCTGCCCGTACGGGCCAGTCTTGACAGACTCTAGGGTTGTGCGCCCATCTCACTCAAGAGGCCAGGGGCCAGCGCTGTCCGGAGACACTTCCGGGTCACGTGGCCAGTGTGACAAGCTGCATCTGGCGAGCCAGCGCAGCACACGGAACACCGTTTACCTTCCTGCCAGTAAGCGGTCCCTATTTATCTACTTGCACCCGGAGGTGCTTTCGAACTGCTAGGTTGGCAGGCGCTGGGACTGAGCAACGGGAGCGCACCCCGCCGCGGGGATTCGAACCGCCAACCTTTCGATCGGCAAGCCCTAGGCGCTGAGGCTTTTACCCACAGCGCCACCCGCGTCCCTATCTGCCTCTTATGAAATAATAAATAATTTTGATCAAGTTAGAAAAACAAAATACATATATACCTAGGTATTACTGAAATGTATACCTACTGTTTCACTAAAGGACTTTCGACTTTGTGCGCTCATTTAACAAAGACGCGCCGCGGCAGCGCTTGTCATTCTCAATGGCGCCGCGCACGTGAAATTAACTCTTACATCAAAATATTATGTTACGTATTGTATTGAGCCGCTATGAGGCAGCAGGATTGGTGGCACCTTTGAGACGACTGATGTTTCTGCTAAGTAGGTGCCCAAACAATACTTATAAGTGTGGCAGTTGTTAATTTGGGGGCTAAACTAAATTTGGGGACGCTGGGCGGATCTTTGCACCCCGGAGGCGCATATGCTAAAGACAGCGCTGGTCTGGACTGCAAGGAGCAATCTTTAAAGCGCTGAAGTGTCAACACGCTCCTAACAACATGATCCTGAGAAAATAAACGCACTGGCCTTTTCCAGGTGGCCTCGTGTTTTGAAGTCAGGTGGAAGGAAAATAATAGCACAATTTCTTCCCTCCCATTTGTTGCCTGTTTTGTTGTTGCTATCTCTATCCTGCGTCTGTGTGCGCACATTTGTACGCAGGTTGGGGAGTTACGTTCAAATGTGGATTTTTGATACTGTTTTATTCTGGGTCATAAACAGCTTTAAAGATCTTACAGTGGAAAAACATGGCTTGCGTGTTTTCAAAGAAACGCAGGAAAGTACGCAGCAATTGTCCCATGGGATGAGGGGCCGCTCCACACATTGCCACAATATTGTGGAGGTAGGAATTAAGTGCCGGCTTATAAATTGACACAGAAAATCAGGTGAATAACTTAAAAGAATCCCTCCCGACCAGAAAAGCAGGGAACCTTTTGGAGATGGAAGAAAGATTATTCTTATTCTTTCGGGCTGTTTAAACACGCTATTGACTTAACATAGGTGTGTGCAGTCAGAAGGCTAGTTAGTTTTCAAGCTAGTTTTTTTGTGGGGAGGGCGGACTTATTAACAGGTTAAATTAATGTGTTACCAGCATGCAACACCATGTGCACCCAGGCCACATTTTTGCATGAATGCACAGTCCTCTATGTGTGGAAACCTACATGCAAGATAGCATTATTCCCACACAGAGCTGATTGCATGGAAGAATTTGTTAATATGTAAATCAGCCCTGAAAGCAGTCTTAATTCCTTGAGAAAAAGCTGTTTTTCTAAAGCTGGGAAGGGCAGACTTCAAGCTTGTGAACTCCTGATCAGGCCAGAAATTTTGCTCTCAGTTCAGTACCAGAATTTCCCTTCGAGTTTCCTAACTATCAGATGCCCAGATTGCAGCGTTTTAGTTGTTAGGAAAGCTTGCTGATCTGCAAATCAGCCAGAGATCCAGATCTACCTTTTCTAAAGCAATGTTAAAGCTTAAGATGATAACAGATGGAAAATTCTGCTTTGCTCCATTAATCCACTGCATGCAATTTAAGCTTTATCCTCCAATCTGAACAGCCTGAAAAAATGACAGTCCATGATCCCAGCTCCTCTCAAAGGGGATTCAAAGGACTGCAGACTTTTTCCAGCTCTATGGGGGATTCTCTGATTTTACAACATTTCTGCCAGGAAAAACAAAGGGAAAAAACCTCCCATGAAAACGATCTGATCCCCAGTCCTGTATCTGCTAGCTATTCAGATAATAAAAAGATTGTTGTCTGAAAATAAGGCCACCAGGATAATAAACAACCACTTAGAATACACTATGGTCGGTTTTACTTTAAGAAACTGTTTGTTTACCGAGACAGGCTCTCTCTTCGATTAAAAAAAATAATACACAGCTATTCGCCAGTAGATGCAGTTTTAAAATACAACACTGCGTATCCTCTTCCCGTTTTGCAAAATAGTCCTTTTCCCAATTTGACCAAGGCTGAGAACTGATATGCAGCGCCTTGCACGCGAGTCGGTGCCAAAGCAGAAATCGGAGCCCAACTTGAAGGTCTCCAGGATCCGATTGCAAGTCCGATTTGGCATTTCCACGACGCGGTGGCATTTGTTTAAAAAAATAACAATTTGTTGAGAAATAAATAATTGAGCGGCAGGGAAGGGAAAGAGCCGAGCCGTGTGAACATCATACATTCAGCCCCACCGGGCATATGCACGTACTTCCCAATCCACACGCCCCCCCCCCGGCTTCCAAATGCACCCTCCTCCTCCTCTCCAGGCTCAGGTCTTGAGTTCGAGATACGCACCGTGTTGTAGAACTCGGCGATGCTGGGCACGATGGTGTAGTTGTCTTCGCACCAGTCCAGCTCGGAGCTGCCGGCCCGCAGGTGGTCCCACAAGCGGAGCGTGGTCATGATGGCCAGACCCGGGCAATGAGCATGGGGGGGGGGCGCGCAACGCCGACGCAACCTAAGCAGAAGAGGATCCGCGCGGGGGGAGGCTGGTCGCTACGAGCTGCTGCCTCGGCTGCGGCTTTGTCCCTCTCCTGCCTGCTGAACTCCGCACCAAAACAGCCCCCGCCGCCGGCTCTGGGAGCGCAAGAGCGCACGCCTCCTGCCAGCTGATCCGGCCCCCGGGGGCGCGTCCTCCCCGCCCACAGCGCGCCTGCGCAAAGTCGTTAGGCTTGCGCCGAGGCTGCCGGGCCCCCTTGTCACGTGGTGTAGCCCACAACCTTTAAGCGCTGCGCGCGATCCTATGCATCCTGGCTCGTTTGGACGCAGCTGCGCGCCACGGATGGGGCTGTGCGCCACGGAGAGCGCGCCGCTTTACGCTCCCCGCCGCCCGACTGCATTACAACCTGCATTTGTCTCTGGAAGGCAGGGGGGGAGCAGGGGGGGGTTGGGGGGTAGGGCAGGTCTGGGACGTGGGTGGCGCTGTGGGTTAAACCACAGAGACTAGGACTTGCCGACCAGAAGGTCGGCGGTTCGAATCCCTACGACGGGGGTGAGCTCCCGTTGCTCGGCCCCTGCTCCTGCCAACCTAGCAGTTTGAAAGCACGCCAGTGCAAGTAGATAAACAGGTACCGCTCTGGCGGGAAGGTAAAAGACGTTTCCGTGCGCTGCTCTGGTTCGCCAGAAGCAGCTTAGTCCTGCTGGCCACATGACCCGGAAGCTGTACGCCGGCTCCCTCAGCCAATAAAGCGAGATGAGCGCCGCAACCCCAGAGTCAGTCACGACTGGACCTAATGGTCAGGGGTCCCTTTACCTTTAGGGCAGGTCTAGCAGTCTGTTGCGCATGCGCTGCTCTTGCGCGGACTCCTTTCGAAGGAAGCAAACGCGCGTCGCTGTTCCTGTTGTTCTGTTTTGCGTGGGGACACGGGGTGGGTCTAAAGTTTTGTTTTAAGTGCATGGGACTTTTCATGGCAAAACCCGCACCCAAAGCTTTGCAGGCCCAAGTTCTTAGTCTCCCCCCCCCCCCCCGGAATGCTTCCTCAGGATAGATGAGGTCGGGATCCAAACACGGCGGGGTGAGGAGGAAAAGCGTGGCTGGCGGCGGTGGAGCTAGGCAGTTTGCCAGCAGTGCGCAGTCATGGGGCAGGCCGGGCAGAGAGGCAAGTGAAGGGGCCTTTCAGGTTTCAGGATGCGCCCAGGCTTGGGATGCAATGAATAGGAAAGGACTTGGAGATAAGGTTCCCCCATTATTTAAAGTATAAAACCCGGCCGTTGCCCAGATATGCCGCCAGGTCTTGTTTTATTTAAATGTGAGCTGAATTGTACAGTTGGAAAGGGAACCCCAAGGGTCATCCAGTCCAACCTGCTGCAATGCAGGAATCTCAGCTAAAGCATCCATGGCCAACCCCTGCTTGAAAACCTCCAAGGAAGGAAAAATCACTGCCCCGCACTTCTTTCTGCCCCCTTCCCCATCTTCACAACGTCTGTAGCAGCAGGTGTCTCACACCAAATGGAAGGGATCTGTAGAAAGGACTCTGTGAATGTTGTACGTACCCTTGTTAACTATGAAAAGCCTTTAACTGAAAACAACCAGTGCTTTTTCTTCCGGAAAAAAGGTGGAGGAACTCACCACCATTGCCATCGTTTCCCCCCCACCACACACAAACTAATTCCCCCCCCCCTCACAGGCCACCGTCTTGTGCCCCTGAGTGAGGCAATTGTTCATCTATGTTCATCTATGTTGTCTCTTCCATTGACCCATAGGAAAAATCAATTTGCAGCTGCAGCTGATACCTGGTCAAGGCCAAGTGGGCAGTGTTTGTTGCACTGCAAGAGTCCTCTCCCCACAATCTGAGTCTCTCTCTCTCTCTGCCATCTCTAGGTTGCATAGAATTAGGTTGCGAGCCCCTCGGGTTCCTCATCCCAGCTGTAAAATGCCTGGCAATGGTTCTCCAAGGCATTGCAGGTAGCAGTTGTTCCCAGGCTTATCTAGATATACCAAGGACTGACCCGCTAGGCGGCCTTTTTTATGCAACATGCAAGTTACTGAAAAAGCTAATAGCAGTGACATTCAAGGAAGACAACTGCCTCTCTGAGGCTTTGTAAGGTTCAGCTGCAAAGCAGTAGGAATCAGGCCTATCTAATTACCCAAAACTGTTGGTATCATACCTACATTTCTTTAATTATAAATAAGCACCCAGAAACTAAAGGAGACCATCTTTCCTTCTGCATTGTCTTCCTTTTAATGTAGCATCGAGCTGCTGCTTTTTATCCTCTTCACAAACATACCGTATTTTTTGCTATATAAGACTCACTTTTTCCCTCCTAAAAAGTAAGGGGGAATGTGTGTGCATCTTATGGAGCGAATTCAGGCTGCGCAGCTATCCCAGAAGCCAGAACAGCAAGAGGGATTGCTGCTTTCACTGCGCAGCAATCCCTCTTGCTGTTCTGGCTTCTGAGAGTCAGAATATATTTTTTCTTGTTTTCCTCCTCCAAAAACTAGGTGCATCTTGTGGTCTGGTGCGTCTTATAGAGCGAAGAATACGGTACTTGAAAGGGGAGGAGGGCAAGAACCTAAACTGGTGCACGGGCCCAGATTCAATATTCTGAGCGACGTAAACGAAGGAAACGTCACGCAGCTTTGCATGCTTGCGAACACTGGGAAGCTGGAACAGGAACAGCAGAAGGGAAAATGACCTGTGCTACTCAAATACATCAAGAGGATCTAGGGAAAAGAAGGAGACGTTTTTCTGAACAATCGTGACACGTTCTTGGCTGGGAACAGGGTCACGTCGCTTGTTGGACGTGCAAAACTAAACAGAAGGGCGCACTTCCTGTCGCCTGTGGTCTCGTGTTTCTTTTGTTTGATTAGCTGTAAAGCTAATCCGCAGAATGTAATTCTGGGGAAGAAACTGTACAGGGGATGGAATGACATCAGTGCAGAGTCAGAGAGACGAGATCATTGTAAAGGGAGACCGGAGACTTTGTCGTAAGCAGTGTAGTGTGAACTCCCAGGCTGTGGCACGTCCAGTTCCACTCTGGATGTACAAACCTTTAGAACAGAGCCATAGCAGGGGGGCTATTGACCCCAGTGCATTTTGGGTAGGTGCATTCCTCTTTTTTAAAGTTTTTTTTATTAACAATTTCAACATATATTCATTATTTTCCCCCTTTCCCCCCACCTCCCCATCAAACCCTCCTTCCCTACCCCCCGAGACTCCCCTCAGCTCCTCTCTCTGATTTCTCAACACATATTATTCTCTGCATACTGTAAAATTGTATAAATCCTTATATTATCTATTTGCTATGTTAACAATCAATAAATTTGTGTATGTTTATTCAAAACCTGCCAAGGAGTCCAATTCATTTTGTTGTCTTTTTAAGTAATTTGTAAAAAGTTCCCATTCTTCTCTGAAGTCAAAGTTGTCCTTGTCTCGCAGTTTATATGTCAGTTTAGCCAGTTCTGCATAATTCATCAAGTTCTCTTGCCACTGTTCTTTTGTCGGGGTTTCCTCATTCTTCCATCCTTGTGCTATCAAGACTCTTGCCGCTGTTGTAGCATACATAAATAAATTCTTTGTTTTCCTTGGCAGGTCTTGTCCTACAATCCCTGAGCTGTTGCGTCCTTCTCTTAACCTGGGATGTGGGTGGCACTGTGGCCTAAACCACTGAGCCTCTTGGGCTTGCTGATCAGAAGTTCAGTGGTTCAAATCCCCCCCACGGGGTGAGCTCCCATTGCTCTGTCCCAGCTCCTGCCAATCTAGCAGTTCCAAAGCATACAAGTAGAAGATAAACTGCATTTCCGTGCACTCTGGTTTCCATCACGGCGTCCCATGGCGCAAGAAGTGGTTTAGTCCTGCTGGCCACATGACCCAGAAAGCTATCTGAGCACCACAACCCCATAGTTGCCTTTGACTGGACTTACCGGTAACCGTCCAGGGGTCCTTTACCTTTTACATTTTACCTTTCTCTTAACCTGGCTTAAGGTTGTCATCTGAACTCACCAGATGCTTAACTGTTAATCAATTGCAATCAACCCACCATATGAAAAATAAGACTTTAGGGACATCTTGCCCAAAAATGGCAACTAGGCATCCTGTTATGGTAGCTGTAACCTTGGTTTAAGGAGCCTTTTGGCGCCTAGTTTATATACCTGAGTTTCTAACACTGATGCCAACCAACTCAGCAATGCTCCAAACACCTTCCCATGCATTAGTGCTGAAAAGCATTCTGCTAGCGTTGCAATTGTTAAGAGCCAATTATGAACCTCAAAAGCTCCTTTCAGGAAGACAGGAAAAAGGTGCCTTATACGGAAGCGGACCACTGGCATCAATCTAGCTCAGCATTGTCAACATGACAACCGGCAGCAGCCCTCCGGGAGTATTTCCCAGCCTTATCAGGAGTTGCCAGCATTTGACCCTGGGACCTTTGAATGCAAACCACAGGCTCTGCCATTGGGCAAGGGAGATAAGAAGCCAGCAGGACAGTCCATTTCTGCAGGGTAAATTGACTTGAAAGCCTTTTCCAAACAGCATCTTTGAAATGTACATTTCTTCGCCACCTCAAAAAGGGCTGGTGCTTATGCATAAAATCTACCAACCTGTATAAATTCAACCAGGTATTCAAAGAACACTTGTCCCTGGCACCTATGAGAGTATGTAACTTTCCTCAAATGTTTTTAGATATTCTTAATGTTTTTAAATGTTTATTTTCTCATTGGGCAAACAAAAGGGATGGAAGGATGGAATAGAAATGTAATGAATATGATTTAATAGTTTCACTGTGTCATTTCTGTCTAGCTGGAAGAATTTCTCATATCCTAGCAAAGTGTTAGCTCATGTACTCAAAGCAAGAAAGCGGATACTAATGCACCGTTAGGTTATATTCTCTAGCCTTAGACACATAATTTTTTTTAAATGTTACTGGTTTTCAGTAACATGGCAATGAACAACTTGTTAGCTTGGGGTTCAGAGATTATTATAATCAATGATTCCGCCACCCAGTCTATATCAACTCAAATGGTTCGTCTGTCTTGGGTAGCTTTGGCAACACAGCTGTAACTATTACTCTATTATGGTTAGAGGCAGGATAGTTGGCCCTATAGCTGTTTCCAAACCAAAATGTGGGGGGTGGAGGGGGCAGGGAAAAATCAGAAGAACACGTTTTCCAAACGCCAAAGTATGTATTTGTACCCAGTGGGTAGCAAACTGCAGTTTTGCCTGTCCTGTAGCTTGAGAGAGGGAGGGAAAGTTCACTTTCTCAGCTTCCTGCATAATTTTATATACCCCAACCCCAGATTCCCACCCACTCATGGGTGTAGCTAAGATTTTTGTTGGGGGGGGGGAGAAAGTCAGCTAGCTATGCATTTTTTAATTTTTTATTGATTGGGGGGGG